TATGGTGAAAAGTCTTTGAAAAGTGCAGTATGCATCTTTGAAATTAGTAATTATGTTCTCATCAGGCTCTCAGAAGTATGGAAATTTGAAACTACCTAAATCAAAAAAAATTTGTGTTTTACCCTAATTTGTAGTTCTGCCAACCATAGTAAATTGCATTCTCTTGTTTTAGTGTAATGGTGAATCAGAATCTTCGTCATGGAGTTGTTATGCTGTCGCTGAATTACGGCTTCTTAGCCAGAAGGATGATGTGGAAGCATTTAGTCGTAGTGAGTACACAAAGTTTTGGATCAAAGTCCTTCAGTTTGTTGCAGAACTAGATCATATTTTATTTCTGAAAAATTTGTATGAAAGAGAGTAGCTATTATCCCACCACCAAGTGGTCATAATTCTGTTAATATTCACTGTCTTCTACAGTGCTACAATTTCTTGCAGTCTACATGGTATTATTTGTTTCATGCAAATGCTTTTTGTATCTCCATAATTGGCTTTTGTTATGTTTCTTCTGCAGGGATGATCTAAAACATGAAGCGTAAATTCAGCCATCCACATGTAGTCAACTCTCCATTCAGTGTGCACTAGGCCTAAGAAACTTCCTGTCCCAAATTTTGACTTCATTGTGTATTCAGTTTTCATCATTCTATTTGTTTTCAGTGTATTTGTTTTAATATACAATGTGTAACTTAAGATCACTTTTATAATTGTATTTATCCAAGTAGTACTCACCTTTTTATAACATGTTTGCAACTGGGTGTGTATCTAATTTTATGGGTTCTCTTTTGATAGTACATAGTGTACTATGCTTGGGAATATACATGACACAGCGATAGACCTGATAACATTACTCACACAAGCTTTACCCATTGTTATTTTGAAGAAAGAAGCTTAATCTTCAAAAGTTTCATGGAAAGTGCTACGTGTAAGAATCTACGAGAGTAAGACTTAACAACATTGTTTGTACAGCCTGTACTTGCTGTTAAGCCAAGACTTCCACTTTTCTTGCTTCAGGAAGGAGGTATATTGTCAGTTGTTATCAGTTACTGCAAGACAGTCCTTGCTGAATATAGCAGTTGCAATCACACTGTTCCTTCATTTATGACAGGTTTTCAGAGCTGTTAGTACCACCCATAATTACAGGTATTGGAATTACTGAAATAAAGTGACTGCAATCTTTCATGTTCTCTGAGAAAAGAAAGATGATAAGAGGGACAGAACAAGTAGGGTCATGCTTCTATGAAATAAACCAAAATTGAACTATGCACCTAGAACCAGATACCAGCTGATCTTGTCCTTAAAGAGTTTAAAAAGCGTGGAATTCTGAAGAGTTTAGGTGTCTATAAGGACGCTTAAGTTTTGGACTTTTACGATAATGGTGATGTTAGTTCAAATCCAGATAGTTCTGATGGCAGCATTGAAGCAAAACAGGAACTTTGTATTTTTAGACATGTGTGAGTCTTGAATTTCCATGATGTAATTGAGAAAAAAAATATCTCGTCTCGGTTTTTCACCCTCATACATAAGGAATTTTGTGGTGATTGCTACTTTTTTCTTCTTCTTTCTTTTGTGGGGGTTTGATCAACTCTTTTCAGGCATTTGCCTACCCTGAGAAGTTTGTTGCTGTCCTGCAAATATCACTATGGTGTCCAATTTCCCTCCACCTATTTTGAAGTTTGTCATTATTATAATTATTCCTGTTATCTATGAATAGTCAAGAAACATCATGTCATTGAAGAAGATTCATATTGGTGTGGGCATTTACATGTTAAAAGGATCCAAGTGGAACAAGATACCAGATTACTTATTTAAGTAAATCCATCACTTATTCTGTGCAAAAACATTTATAGGCCTTGTATTTGACAAATCACTGTAACTTCCTGAATGATTCTGTGTATTTTTTTTATTTTTGAGGGTTATATGTTGTAAAAATGTTCATACTTTGCATAGTAATTTATGCACATTATTTGTTGAGCATTCCAGTTTCTGGTTAACCTTATAATTTTTATGTTTCCTGCAATTTACAGAATTTTTCATTGATACCCAGAAAAGCGTAAATAAGGGTTTCCATTGTATTGTCAAATACTGGTGCACACAAGCATAAGAGGCTGGATTTAGTTTTCAGCCACATACTAAAACCTTGACTTTTGAAGTTTTCTGGTCACAAATAATTCCAGTAGTGTAAAGTAAAGTAATGAGTGTGCCCGAGTATAAACATGTGAAATTTAGTAGTGTTTGTGAGAAGCTTTTCATTTAAGAAATTGTCCTGTATGAACAATTTTATTTCCTTGGTGGTGCTTACAATTGGTTTCTAAATGTTAGTTTTCCTTTTTAAAGTTATGATGTTTTCTTTTTTTCTGACAGAAATTCAACATCTCTTCTATAGCAAAGAAAATGATTGGGGTTTCAGCCACTTCATGTCATGGCAAGATGTACTCGATCCTGAAAAAGGGTTTATCAAGGATGATTCCATCATCTTGGAGGTTTGATCATCAGATTATATTGTAAATTATTATTAATCTTTATATGGCTATTTTTTCATTTAAATTTGTTTGTTTTTAGCCTGCTGGTATGGGAATAGGCAGTCTCAATCTTTTCTTCACGAATAATCATTACTATGCATGAAAGTTGCTCCGCCTCTTCCATGATAATAACAAACAGCTACAAATAAAAATGTATTTGAGTAATGAACATTGTCATGTTTTTTGTAGATTATTGATTAAAGGAAACGTGATAGTTTAGTATTGTGGCATCGGTTTCTGGGCTGAAGGTAAGTCAAATCTAGTGCATATAGCCCCATCCTACACCACTAAAAATACGAAACTGTTATTTGTGTCAACATTAAGCTGGGTCTGCCATTAGGCCTAATTATCATTCTGTCATGGGACTCAGCAGAATTTTATCCTTTGAATACTTCATTTTAGAAGTGGAGTCCATGTTTGTCATGGTTATATCGTCCAGAAAGTTTAAGAGACTGTCTTGGATCAGAAATAAGGATCCCTTCTTCTCAAGCAGTACTTTAATGTAGCAGCTATGTTATGAAATATGGAATCCAATGTGTCATTTTAACACTAGTTAAATATTAATTATGATAACAAAGTAATGTAGTAATTGGTTTTTGGAGTTCATAATGTGGTTAATTGTACATGTTCAGAATACCTGAAAGTGTGCATCTAGGTGCTAATCCTGCCTGTCTCTACAGATTTTACAACAGTGTATGTTGTGCTTTATTCTAGCCCCATGCACTGACGTGCTGTACATCTTCCTGAATTATTTTCACTGATTTCCATGAAGTGGGGATTTCTCCCTTCTGGAGGACCATATACTGATTGATTCACCCCTCTTCCTTTTCATTCTGCCTACAGTGGTTATTCTGTTTAAATGTTAATCAGTCTCTACTGATAACTGTTTCAGAAGGGGGAAAAAATTCTTCTTTGTTTTATTTTGGACATAGTGTGTGAGTTGAAAATGCTGACTGCAAGGAACCAAGTATGTTTAATCCTTCTTGTTCTTGTAAACCAATAGGATTTTATATACCTTTTGTATCTGTCTTGTTTAATGTGTTTTATTATCCTAATATATTCCTCACCATGTTATAATTTGTGTATAGAATAACACAACATTTACTTTTAAATAAGAATATTAGTTTTATTTACAGTGATTGAACTTGTTTGAAAGTATGGAGGAATCTGTCGTCATAAGTAAGTATGATTTGATTTTTTTGAATATGGAATCATCATCTTTCAGGTTCATGTAGTTGCAGATGCTCCTCATGGTGTGAGTTGGGACTCAAAGAAACACACAGGTTATGTTGGCCTGAAGAATCAAGGTGCAACCTGTTACATGAACTCTCTCTTACAGACTTTATACTTCACCAATCAACTACGAAAGGTGAACTCATATTTCCAATTCATAGGCTAATTTGTACATTACACATCAGTTTTAAAATATGTATATTTATAGAATATGTTTGAAACTAATATACAGTGAAACCTCTATCCATCGTTCCCGGAACTATCGTTTTCCCGGATGCATCGTCCGTTTTGTTCGGTCCCGAATACATCCCATATAAAATAATGTTACATTTTCCCGCTTCTATCGTTCCTCGAACTATCGTTTTATCGCATCGATCCTTAAAAAATCTTAGTCCCAGCACACAATTTTCCCGCAATGATCGTTTCTGAGAAATTGTAACGAAATTTACGTGATATTTTTAGAATTTAATTCCGAAAGACGCACAATGTTTTTGGAATACGCAGTAGCGGTAACCTGTTATGTCGCCCAACCAGCACATTCTTTTGGAATGAGGGTCAGCGGTGCAGGGGTGATAGTTGGAGTGAATGGCGGTGCTCATTGTCAGAAATTTTACGATTTTAATTAGGGTGCACTCATATTTCGTTCCAGCGATGCCAGATGGCATGTGCAGTGTGAATTTCTTCACAAATGCTTTTATTACAAGGACAAAGGAAAGGC